CAAGCCGTATCTGGTCTTCATTCGGTCACTGGCGAGCTGAATATGCTCCCGAGATAAATCATGCATCCCGAGATTTCGTGCCCTTACTTTGTCGGCATAATCTCAAATTTCTTTTCGTTCTTCTTCAGGTATTCCAAATATCAGGTCGCAAGGTATCCTTGGGCTGGAACTCTGTAACGAATAAAGATATTTTTTCTATCTCTATTGACGTCTCCTCTCTATTGTTTTCTACAAGAAAAAAGAAGACAACAAGTGCCATAGCGATAGGGATAACGATCCTTATCAGTTACAGAGTTCCAGCCCTGAGTTTCCTTCCAAAAACGATTCTAGCTGGACTTTCACCTGTTGACTCGTGAACAGCTGCTCTGCAAGCCATTAAAAATAGAGGCAAGTGTTTGTCCCAATCTCGCTGGTTCTTTGCGACTACTTTTGTCAGGTGTTCCTCTATGGTCTTATTAAATCGTTCTACCATGCCATCAGACTGTGTATGTAACGGTGATGTCCTTGTCTTACGAATGCCTATGATCTCACAAATTTTCTTAAAGATAGCAGATTCGGAGTTTCGTCCCTGATCTGAATGCAACTCTAGTGGCACACCATGACGACTGAAAACTTCGTCCACTCGCACCTGGGCAATAGTGATGGCTTCTGATTGGGAAGAGCGAAAACTTCTGGCCATTTACTGAAGTAATCCATGATAACCAAGATGTATTTGTTATCACGCTCTGACTCAGGGATTGATCTGGCAACATCTATCGCTATCCTTTCAGGGGACGTTCACGTTGTACTGTTTCATGGGCTCCCGAGATCCTAGTTTACAGCTTTTACTGGTAGCACAGATGTCGTATTTTCGACACCAGTTTTTAACGTCTTCATGATAGTGAACCCACTCCAAAATGTGCCCCTGAAGTTCCGTCACGTATTTCTTTTAATACATCTTCTACTGAATCATTTGGAATAACCAGTTGGCTCTTAGTAGATTTTCCATCGGCTCTATCCCAAATTCTTTTCAGTAAACCATTTTCTACGGCCAGAGAGTTCCACTGAGCCCACAACGCCTTGTAAATCAAACTCTTGTTCGACACTTTCCTCCATTCTGGCCTGGATTCATCATGTTCTTTAAGATGTAGAAATGGCCCGATGTCCTGGTCTGCTTCTTATTGATCTGCTCTCATTTGTTTGGTAGTCCATTTATCATCAACCATAAGACTTGTTCTTCTCACAGCTGGACCAGTGTTTTTCTAATGAATATCGATTCTTTGACAATGCTTGCAGTCTTCTTTACATGGCCGTGTAGACAGAGCGTCAGCATTTTTATGCAGGTTTCCATAGGTCGATGTTTAATTTGGAAATCGTATTGCTGCAATTTCTCAATCCATCTAGAAAGCTGTCCTTCGGAAGTTTTCATTTCTAAAAGCCATTTTAGAGCTGCGTGATTCGTTCGAATTAGAAATTTACGTCCATAAAGTTACTTATGGAAATGGTCCACAGCTTTTACTATGGCGAGCAACTCTCTTCTGGTGACACAATAATTTCGTTCTGGCTTTGATAAGGTTCTGCTGTAGTACTCTACGACGTGCTCTTTTGAAATTTGAATTTTGAATACTGGTGTTGCTTGCATCTGTGTCCAATATCAACATGCCTGCAGTTTGGATTGAGTTTTAAGTTGGCATTCCAGAAGCGGTCAAAAACTTCTTTCAGGTTATTGAGATGTTCTTGGAACGAATTTCCCATGATCATGACATCATCTAAATATACCAGACAAGTTCTCCATGTAAGGCCTTTCAAAACTAGATGCATCAGTCGCTCAAACTTAGCGGGAGCATTACACAATCCGAAAGGTATTATGTTAACACGTTCGCTGTCCAAATGACAAACCATCAGCCAGGCACAGGAGTCCTCCATATAAAAAAGCTGATGTCCCATATTTGGGTCGTGGGACTCTGTAGTTAGAACCTCAACATATTGCTCCGCATAAGGCCCATTAGTATGTGAAATTATTTTTGTATGTTGCTATAATTATTCTGTACACTAATCAATAAAAAAAAAAAAAAAAAGAAAATATACCTAAGTTGTCAATGCTTCAATGTCTAAGTCCATGCCCCAAATATAGGTCAAATGTGTACTTTGCCTAGTTGCCTTGTATACTACAGAGCCCCTGTAGATAACGAGTAGATTGATCGACACTCCGTCTTAAAACCTAATATGATCTAAAACTCAAATGTGAGCCAAATATGGGGCACAGGACTTGCAACAAACATAAGGCATGACCCATATATGGGTCATAGGACAGGGAACGTTTTAAACTGGTATAACCCGCTTCCGGTACTAAAGGCAGTTTTCTCCTTGTCATCTTTGTGAATTTCCATTTGCCAGTATCCGCTCTTAAGATCCAAGGTGGAAAACCATTTGGAGCCCGATAGAGTTGGTAATGTATCGTCTATCCTCGGAAGAGGGAAGCTGTCCTTCTTGGTGACGTCATTAAGCTTACGGTAGTCCACACAAAATCTAAGAATTCCATATCTTTCTTTGTAACCAATAGTACTGGCGCAGACAATGGACTATTTGACTCTTCAATAATTGCTTCTTGAAGCATTTTAACAATTTGGTTTTCCACTTCCTGTTGTTTAGCTGGCATACGTCGAGGTGGTTGTCTAATTCGGTGTGCAAGCCCAGTATCAATTTTGTGTTGAATTAAACTGGTCCGGCCGGTTTGATTATCCATCACAAATATGTCTGCTACTTTCAACATGAAATCTGTGGCTTCTTGAAGTCTATCGGGAACTCGATTTTCGATAAACTTGGCAGATTTGTTTGAAACAACAAAATGTATCTTTTGACTCGATTAGAAAAGAGTTTATGAGCTATAGATAAAAAAACGATTTTTTTTAAAAACTTTGACACCCTGTTGTATCTCAGCAATTACGCATTTCCGGACACAAATTTATGGGAACTTTTTTTTTTTAAATATCGTAAGGAATCATATCCTGAAGTTACGAACCGTACTTAGGAAACACCCTGTATATTTTTTCATTTTCTGACCACCCTGTACATGCTATTTCAAGTTTCAATAGTTTATTATTATTTTTTCAAGAGGCAGAAACTTTTATGAAGAATATCTTTTTTACGTAAAATTGATAAAAGTTTCCCATGTGCTGCGAACCTACGTGGACACACTGTATATCCGAAATCCATTCTTATACAGAATAAACGCGATTGCCCTTTTTCCCGAATAGCACTGTAAAATCTAGAATCAGCTGTCCAATTCTGTACACCCAGGCGCTTCTGCCAGATTTTCGCGACAGTATCCTCTTGATCCTTGCCGAGCTTCTATATGATTTTATTGGAATTAAAGCAGGATTTGGGTAAAGATAAAAATATGACAAATGGTTTCGGAGGTCAAAATGACTTTTATTGAAAATACTTCTAGAAATCAATAATTATTATTTTAAAAATAAAGCACCTTATCAACTCTAAATTCAACAGCCCCCTCTATTTGAAATAAACCACCTAACTGACCTAACCCTTTGCTTCTTTGCACACACACAGCCTGCTAGGATCACGACAAGTAGAATTCTACTAGAATTCTACTTTCATGACGTCAGGTTGCCTAGCAAACCGTCATCATCGCCTGTACTGTACGCAATAAATAGGTCGCGGGTGACGTCATAAAAGTAGAATTCTACTTATCGTAATTCCAGCCCTTCGTCTTTTGCTTGTCTATGGCCTTAGTCTGCAACTTGCTCATCTGATTGAAGATACTTTAACTCAATTTCATTTTCTTTAATCTTTTGTTTTTTTGAATTGTATCTTTACGTATATGTCTAGTCCGAGCTTGGTAAGCACCACAATTTATCGTCCATTCTTCTAGCGATTGTAGGATTTGTAGGTTGCATTTCTTAAGCCGCGTCCACATTAGTAAAAATTTACGTTGTGCGTGTCATTCGGCACAAATTTGTGTGTGCGATACAAATTTATGCGAGTGTGGACCTGTTCGCCGCATACGAACGCACGCAAAAATTTTCGCGGCATTCGACACACGCAATCCGCGGCTTATCGGGTTTTTTCAAGACGCATTTTTTCGCGAATGAAACAAATAACCAAAAACAAGCAACGCACACTCTGAAATAAAATAGGTACACACGCGTTGAACAAGAACGCACGGCGCACAGCACAAATATTTATGTCGGTCAGAAAACCAAATTTGCGCCGCAAAAATATGTGGCGAATCCCGAATTCAACGCAACGCATTTATTTACTAATCTGGATGCGGCTTTAGACTCAATCTTGTTTTTTCGGTTTTTCTTCCAAACATAGGTACCTACATACATTTAGTTTCGTTTACTGCCTCCCATTATGTTATATGTTTTCTCCATTTTCTGTGTATCAGAATCGAGCTCTGAATTCTTTTTTGACTATCCCACATTTTTTGAGCACTGTCATTTCCTTTGCTTTTGGCCTCTGTGGTGGCGACAATTAGGTCCATTTTTTGATGTTCAATCTCTATGATTAACAGTCTGGAGTTTTAGCGAGTAACCGGGAGTTATCCTGATGCAACCCCCTAACAGGAGGACCAGGTATTTTGTGGTCGACGTTTTCAAATTCAACGGATTTCATGGGTGATGGGCATGTATGCTCCTTGTGAAAAAATCAATTATTTTTCTTTGGCTTGTCATAGTTAAAGGTTAAGTAAGAGTATCTTCGTTGAAGAAGCCGGCCTGCCCGAAATAAGGACGCCTAATAAAAAGGAAAATAAACTTATTAAGCGGACAAACGAAAAAATTGTAAAACTTTCGTAATCCGCAGAAACGAGGAAAACGGTGAAGGATCAAAACAAAACAGGGATGAAGTTGTAAATGTTAATGTTGGTGGGGTAATGAGAACCTCCTCATTAGCCTGGGGCCGGGCCTGGTCATGTTGGCTGCCTTGCCTGCCAGGGCCAGGGCCTGGTAGTCCGATGCCTGAATCGGCCTCATATTTAGTCGCTAGTCGCTTTCAATCCGCGATCGCCGATCGCTCGCTCGCGTCTCGTGTTTTGTAAACAGGTTTATGTGGCTGTGTCGTCATATTACAGCGTTTTGTTTTCGTCTCGACTTGCGACTACTGTCATATTAAAAGCTACCAGGGCTTACACTGCCCTAATTTTTTAATTTGACATCTTGGTTGGCAAGCAAAAAATATTGTCGCCTTTCAGTTTTACAGCCCTTTCGTGAGGGACTCAGCCTTTAACTTACTTTATTTTTCCTAATAATTATAATTAACTGATACCTCTAGACTGATTATACTGATGAACCGGTGAACTTAAAAGGTAAGTCTTCTTTATCATTCGGAAGTTTCTAAATAGCGTAATTAATAGGAAAACGTACAATCGTGCAATGAAAAGCAAAATCTCATGTAAGAGTTATTTATATTTAATTTCGTTTTCCACTTTCGCCTTCAATGTAACGTTCTTAAGAAACAGCTCAAACGCCGATCGACAAGGGGTCACAGGCATGATGCGTCTACAATGTTGTCAGACTTTATTTTATTTTCATATTTTTGCAGGTCGATCGTTTATTATGAAAAATTAAAGTGTCAAATTATTTCGGCAACTTTCTCCTTTCAAAAAATATAATTAAATATCGACATTTACATATAATTTTAGATAATTATACATACAGAAAATCCTTGAAAAAACTACCTAAAAATTAATTTCACGCACTAAGTACTTTCTAGTTTGGATGATTGGAACATGGTTAATAAAAAAACAAACTAACGACAATACTGTAGGTACTGATTAATTCAAAATTAAGAAAATAAACATCCTTGACGCTATAAGACAGTAATTTTAGGTTTATAGGTCCAACATGTAAAACGATGTTAGCTAGGTACATGAAATTATTAGCAATTGAATTTTTAATTGTCTTAAAATAAAAGACATAGACTTTGGGTAAGAAGGCAACCCAAAGTCAATTCTGTCATTGGAATCCTCAATTAAGTACTAATAAATCCTTTCTCAATGAATTGAATTTTTGTCATTTAATTTTTATTTATATGTTGTATTTTCGTCTAGTAGCAACCGAGGTAGCAACATAGGTACATATTTTTAAATGAGGCAGACTGTGTTCTTATAAAATCATTTTTGTCAGAAGGAGTCAAACAAATAAATAAACCAGGACCGTTCCGATGAAAGTGTATGCCAAGGGAAATCGATCGCTTGCGATTTAAACGGTATATTATGTAGGGTGTTGAAAATGTTAAAAATATAAAATCTTCATATGAGTATCATCCTAAATACCTATAAACTAGGCTAAGAAACGATGTTTACGATTACTGTTTGAAACGTAATTTGATTGTTTAAATAAAATATTCAAATACATTCATTGAAATATTTGCTCTATTGTTGGAGAATGGTCTAATGTGGCTTCACTTGGCTTAGGCTGACGGTCTAGCCGAGTCAGCATGTCTGAATTATGGAAATAATAGCAATAGCCCGAACCCAATTTATATTTCATGGGGGATTTGAAGTGGAGTGCCTACATACAAATAAGAAATATATATAACGCTTGCAAATTTGGCGCTCAACGTAGAGCTTGTAATGTTATTAGTGCTTCTATGCCTGAGTGAGAAATTTATTCAAAAGCTTTATTTTTCAAAAACGTGTTATCAAAGGAAATTGTGTGATCTTATTAGAAACAATGGACTTGAACAAAAACAACAGCACGCTACGTGGAAAACAAGAATGTTTTAGAACATATGTTTATAGGAACTTTTTTGATTTTTTGGAGATGCTCAATCACTTTTTGAAGTAGGTCTCACATATTGCGGAACACCCTGTATATGTTAATATATGAAGGTATGTATGTACGAGTGTACGCCCAAGAAAAGTCATTGGTTGTATCGGGTCTTCAAAAAAATTACCAATCAAAGATTCCTTTGATTACGAAAACGTACGTCGCATTATTGTTTCTTTATTGGTCAGGATTTTTGACATGACATTTTGACATTAAAGCTCATTGACAAAATTAAAGAAAAATATTGCTAAGACATACGTTTAAAAAACTATAGCAATCTTTTTTTGAAGACCCGATACCTCGGAAATAGTACTTGCTTATTTTCCTAAGAAAATAATTTTTTCAACGCAATTTCATAGGACCAATCTTAAATTCGGGGATTGCTTTATAATTTACCGAGTTGAGGCATGCTAAAAGTAGGTATAATTTTTAAAACATTTGAGAATGTATTTATGACTGTTTGTCTTAATTCCTCAAGTAAAAGAAGGAGGAGGAGGAAAACACTTATATACAAATGTCAATAGCTCTGGGCCCGTATTCTCGTAACCGGGGAACAGCCTTCTCTCAAGAGAACGATTGCTCTGTCTTTGTCAGTATTATGGAAATAACAATATGGGTAACTAAGACAGAGCAATCGTTCTCTTGAGAGAACGCTGTTCCCCGGTGACGAGAATACGGGCCCTGGTGTGTTTCTCAATTACATTTTTACAATTTGGTCTCATTTTCCTAACTGAGGGTCTGATGGCCTACTCACCATGTCCAAATTATGGAAATAACTAACTAACGTGCGTGAAATTTGAAAATGGGCCGTAAATTTGGCGCTAGTCTTGAAGTGTGAGTATGTATCTCAAGTAGCATTTTTCCGACTTACGACTAGATTTTCACTAGTTCCGACGTTGTAATTGGTAGAAATTTAGGTCACTTATTAACTTTACAATCAAAGTAAATACCCGACCTTCAGTCGACGTTAAGTTAACGTCAGACATTTATGGTAGCTGTAATCAACGTAGATCAGACGTTGTCGAGTTTATAGTTATTTATGGTAAAGCTCGCGAAGTTGAGCGAAAGTTTTTTTTTTTTATGGGCGCTATTTTCAGCAATGTATCCAATACCAATATCGACCACGGTTGGACTTATTTTTTCGTATACTTCAAATCCAGTTAAAAAAATATAACCAAAGTTGTTAGCCAAATTGTGTTGGCTGTACAACGTTGACATTGGTATACAAGTGTTAGGGTCACGAAAAGAGTCGGAGATTAGACAACATTACCTTATCGCTGTTTATAAAAGTCGATCAATAATTATTTATCTCCAATTTTGTCGTGGATCTTAACATCTCAATGTGGTCCAAATTGGTGGTACATATCTTCGACTTTAAGGTTGTGCTTCGTTCATTAAATTCAGTAAATATCAGTTCAACTACCAAATCCGCCATACTTTAAGGCTACGTCGATAAAGCATCTTGTCAGTCATTACAAAAATTTTATTTTTATTTTCCAATTAATGTTTAAAATTGACAGTAAACGGGAAATTACAGTAAGTTTTAATTAATTACCTCCACCACAAAAATTCGCACGTCATTATTATTTTATACTACACAGTTTAATATTGTCGTTTATCTCACATGTTTCCAAAAGAAGTCGTATCAGTGTTTGGAAGTAGATAGAATTGGTTAACATAACCTAACATAAATTAACGTTGCATTTGGTAAACGATGCAGCACTTCAAAACTTGGTCGTTCGTCGGCACGACTCAAATTTGAATGTTTCAAATTAGTGCAAAAAAAGGTCGGCAAATGGTTAATCCGACGTCCGAACAACGATTCAAAAGTTGTCTACTAGCTTCCGAAAGTTTTGTGCCATCCATTCTGACCGTTTCGGTTGTTATCCTGTCTTCTCCGGGGACTCGACCATTTCTCATTTTTTTCAGGGCATACTTCACCTCGTCTGCGTTTATTTCCATGATTTCTTCGAATTCCATATTGATGACCGGATGTTATGCAGGTCTTTGATTGGGTCATTCACGTTAGGGTCAGGTGTTTATGTGGAATATAGATTCATGTAAAACTCTTCGATCACCTTGAGTATATCTGCCCTATATTGATGTTTCCTGCATATTGATATTTGTGATTTTAATACCGCATGTTTTTGTTTGCCTCAATGGTTTCCTTGATTATACATGACAATGTGTTTTAGGATCTGATATCTTTTTTGACAGCATCTTTTATGTCTATATATTCATATTCGTTTGTGCCTATCGTCATCGTTCTTATTTGTTCCATAAGTTTTATTATGCTCTTGCTGATTTAGCTGATTATGTTGTTTTTCTGCATCTTTGCTTTGTAACACACTTTTTTGTTGGGTGTTTGGATAGCCTCTGTTATCTTATCGTCCCTTTGGTTGAGATCTTAATCTTTCAGATTAAGAACAGATGATATTGTTCAGTTCTTTTTGGTACTTTTCAATGTTTTGTCTTATTACAACTGCTGTTGAATGATATATTTGTTTTATCATTTTATTTCTCTCACTTCTGGTGTTGATTTTAACGGTAGTTCTCACTTGTCTATGATCGCTACCCGTTCTGAAATTATTTACCACCGAAACATCTGTGATTACATCTCCTCTCGAAAGTTCCTCCCTCGGTTCCTCCATTATATATGTAGATAACACTATCCGATATCGAGCACATTTTGATGAGGAGGTGTTTCCCATGAGTTTGGATAATGAGAATTGCGACTCCACCGTTTTTGGATTACGTGTCAGAATTTCTTTGGTATAGGATATGTTTTGATCTCAGGGTTGTACACTTTTCTCCGTGCCGTTTCACATAAACCTTCCTTAAGAATTTTAATGCGATTCAGTTCTTCATCTAATAATTGCTCCACATGTTCCTCTAGACGCATTGTTCGTGACGGGTCTTCTTTAATTTTGTAATTGAATTTTGTACTGTCAAATGTTATGTCAAAAATCCTGATTAACCAAGAAACGCGATGCTTATCAAAATCAATTCGAACTAAACTCTCCGTCGAAACGTGTGCAGATTGTTCACTTGTACGAAAATATTCAAGATTCAGATGATTCTTGTTCTACAGGACGCAAGCACAACTGTATTTGATATCAATAAGCTTCAGTGTTTTGCGTTCTCATTTTCCTAATAGATGTACTTTCTCACATTTCCATCTTCATGAAACTTTTACTTGGAAATTTCTTAGCATCAACAGCTTTTTGTTAGAAAATATCTGCTTTGGACCAGGTTCGGTTTTGTCTGAGTCAATAACTTCATTCGAAACAGCTTCCATTGATTTTTTAGGCGTTAAGTAACTCTTCCATTTATTTCGGAAGATTCCTGTAAAACATTATCTAGAAACGATTTTGCTCCCAGTGATATTCTTCAAAATATTTTGATTGTGTTTTCTTCCCGATTGTTTGTCCTTACTGGTTGTTCTTCTGTATCTTCAACTTCTTCAGATTCTACATGAGCTTTTTGATTTTTCTGTTCATCTCAACATTTTCTTCTACTTTTCAAACACTACTTT